AATGCCTCAATTCAAGAAGAAGATCCGCCTGACCACTCGATTTACGACCTCTCTGACGGGTATACACCCTCACATCATGCACTGAACCAGTTCATTTCCCGGCGCGTAAAGCCTCGCCGGTCCAGCGTCGATCAAACGGAGTACATGGAACAGCGCGAACAAGAAAAAAATGAAGTAATTGAAAAAGCGACTGCTGTGTGGCCATGTATGGAGCCTCCTAGCGACTTTCCGGAGTGCTCATGGTATGACATTGACGCATTAAATTCTGATCTCAGCCCATTGTTCGCGAGTTGCTATCGGAACATGGAGTTGAAGGATCACTTGAATCGCGTGGTGTCAATTCTTGACCAAAATGCTACGTCTTTCCTTGCTGACCAACAACTGGCATATTCCTTTGTACCAGCAGGTCAGGGCCACCACCGAGTGAACCTGGACGTGACCCTGGAGGTCCTATTCCATCGCGTTGCACCTGCCATTCCACTAAATGAGGTGACGCCTCAGAACTTGGGGTTCAATCTCCACCGTGACAATTATGCTCTACATTATCCCCTCGCTAAGACTCTTTTCCAGTCTCGAATTCGGTATTTGTTCTTGTACAATCGATACTTTGTTCTGACCCTGATTTCACCTGATCTAGGAAGATGAGCCAGTTGATTGGCGACCTTCACCGGAATGCGAACTCGACGTTTCATGCTATCTATGCAAATGAGCTCCAACAGAGTGCAGACCACCTTAGTTGTGACCAGCCGACTCTGGAAGTGGATACCCCCACACACCCGGTAGAGTCGTTCAGAAGCTATTGCGAGCAAAGCAGGACAAGATACCAGTCTGCCCTAAGGTTCCTCGCAGAATACTTGGGACCACAAACGACAAGCGAGCACACAGTCTATAGGTCTGGTCGGTGGCCACGTATCACAGCACAGGTTCTCCTTGGCTGCCTTGCATCAACATCGCAAATTACATTGCCCCGTGATTGGCGAGTTTGTTTAATAGCATTCGCAAAGCTCGCTCTGGAGTACCAGCGTGCCCGCCGAATGCTAGCCTTGGCAAAGAATGGCCAAACCGAGGATTTACACAAAGAGATGGAAAACACTGGTTGCGACGGTTGGGAGGCAGAGTCATACGCTGACTGGCTATTAATCCAGGTGCCTTCATCTCGTCACCTCAGCTGATTTCATGTAAAGCTTATTCAGCCCCTCTATTCCCGGTTCAGCTTGACGGAGATTTCCTCATCCGCCGCGTCCAAGCAGATGTTGCGCTAGAAATGATAGCACCCCATTCCGGCCAGAACACCGTTCTGCAATTGAACATGGGTGAAGGAAAATCCTCAGTAATCGTACCGGCAGCCGCCTCGGTCCTCGCCGACGGAAACCAACTCATGCGAGTGGTGGTCCCGAAAGCCCTCGCTTCCCAAATGTTCTATCTACTGGTAGATCGACTTGGTGGACTTGTCAACCGACGAATCTTTTATTTGCCGTTTTCAAGGTCTTTGCAGATCGACGAATCCGGAGCTAGAGCAGTCCAGGAAATCTTAGAACAATGCATGCGCGAACGTGGTATCCTTGTCGTGCAACCCGAACACATCCTGTCTTTCAAACTGCTGAGCGTTGAGAAGCAGCTAGATGATACTACGGGTATTGCGGAACCACTATTGCAGACTCAGCGGTGGCTCCATTCATACGCTCGGGATATCCTTGATGAAAGTGATGAAATCCTGCATGTGCGAAATCAACTGATCTATGCTATTGGTTCACAGAAACCTCTGGAGGGCTCTCCCACCCGGTGGTCGACCACCCAACAGATACTCCATTTGGTGAAGAAACATGTCCCTGCGCTCCACGCGGATTTCCCGTTTGGTGTGGAATGCGAACCATGTCACCATCGCGGTGGGGCTTTTCCTCACATTCGTATTCTTCATCGAGAGGCTGGCAACGAGCTAATTTCCAGGATTGCTCAAGATGTCATCGATGGACAACTACTTAACTTCACTGGGGTGCGCGGTATCGAGAGAACCATAATTCACCATTTCATCACCCGCATGGACGTTGCCTGCTCTGAAGTCCAAGTAACACGGGACTACTGTGGAGGCACCGCCATGTGGATGACTTTGATACATCTACGCGGACTTCTAGCATCTGGAATCTTGCTATTTGCCCTCATGGAGCGACGATGGCGTGTCGGCTACGGACTGGCACCTTCGCGGACCATGCTTGCCGTCCCTTATCGTGCGAAAGATGTCCCAGCTCCGAGAGCAGAATTTGGTCATCCAGACATTGCGATAGTGCTCACTTGTCTCTCGTACTACTACAGTGGACTGGATCGGGAGCAGCTGATGTTATGCTTCGAGCGCCTCCTGACGCTAGATAACCCGGAACAGGAGTACGAGTCATGGGTCCGCAATTGCCTTGAAGTCCCCGAGAATCTCTGTCAAATCAGTGGCATTAATACTCAGTCGTTGGACCAGTGGAATCAGTACCTTTTCCCTCTATTCTCGCGCAATCAATCGACAGTAGACTTTTATCTCTCACAAGTTGTCTTTCCGAAGGAGGCCAAGGAGTTCCCTTCGAAGCTGTCTAGCTGTGGGTGGGACCTTGCAGAGGAGCGGGAGCACGTTACCACTGGTAAGTACGTGGCTTAGCCACGACCTCTCATGACTCATGTTCGTTAGGATTTTCCGGGACAAATGATGCGCGTTATTTGCTACCGACTTCCACCGTACAGCGGGACCTTCATCACCAACGTGCTACCAATGCAAAGGTTCTCTCCTACCTTATGAGGCACGAGAATGACGCATACGTGCAAACGTCGTGGCCAGATGGCCAGCGACGAACAGCTAGTGCATTCCTTGCGTTTGTAGTGGAACAAACGCCAGAAATTCGTGTGATATTGGACGTCGGTGCCCAGGTCCTGGAACTGAAAAACAACGAATTCGCAGCACTCTGGTTGGAGCTGAAACCTGATGCGCTTGCTGCCATCTACTTCAATGACGACGACGAGCTGACCGTGCTTTCACGCGATGGATCCACACAATCATTTTTAGAGTCACCATATGCAAGTCGCCTGGACGAGTGTATTGTATATCTCGATGATGCACATACGCGAGGCACTGACATCAAGTTTCCGATCGGGTTCCGTGCAGCAGTCACTTTAGGGCCCAAAGTTACCAAAGACCGCCTGACTCAAGGTATGGCTATAGGATCGGTTGATGAGGAATGTCACTGAACTTGATGGTAGGGTGTATGCGCATGCGTAAACTTGGACATGGTCACTCTGTGGTATTTTTCGCTCCTCTGGACGTAGACAGGAATATCCGCGACGCAGCTAGAAGGAGCGATGGAGACACCATACATCCATCGGACATCTTGTTGTGGGCCATGGGCGAAACGTGCATGGAGATCCAGAACAGCGCTCCCTACTGGGCTCAGCAGGGAAGAGACCACGCTTTCCGGTACCGTGCGTGGTCGAAGTTCTGTAGCGGCGAGATAACTGCCCAAGAACTCGCCGTGACTTGGCGTCAACCAGATGCGAAAACCCTGGAAGAATTGTATATGCCGTCCGGTCCTGAGGTGCAATCAGAACCGCCCATTGCGGCAATCGATCGACAGTGCCAAGCGCTTGGCGTTTCCTCCTCGACCGTTTCTAACATGAACGAGGAACAGGAACGAGAAATTGTGCACGAAATGGAACGCGAAACGCAAACAGAGCGACCACCGCCAGCGACCCCTGCAAGGCATCAGGTCTCCGCAGATGTCCGTCATTTCGTGCGCACGGGCATGATTACCCCTTATTCTCAGGCCTTCCTTCCCATGTTTAATTCATTCCGCGATGCCACAACACCTGCTCAAGAAGAGAATGTGTGGTCCCAATACATCCTCACGACTTCTGACTACTGTAGTGTGGTGGAGGGACGCACACGGGTGAATGTTGGTGAATACCTCCGCCCAGTTAACTGGATGCTCTCAAGCCAGTCAAATGGAAACCCCGCTCTTGTCATCCTTAGCCCGTTCGAGGTAAAAGAGTTGTTACCGGAAATCAGAAACAGCGGATCCGTATGCCTTCACATCTACACGCCACGAACCCAGGCAAGAATGCGTCCATGTGACGACCTGCGTCTGTACACAATTCCTTCTGCTCGTCCTGACTGGGTTTTTTCCCCTTCACACGTCGACCAAGTAAACCTGTTCGCTGGACAGCTGTACCTGCGGGACTACGACACATATATTCGCCTTTGTCGCTTTCTTTGCATCTATGCCGACGATCTGGCTGGTAAAGAGAACTTGGAGGTCGAGAGCGATGGATTCATAGCTCCTGAGCATCGCCCCCTGGAGGCACAATCGGCTGGCTCTTTCCGGAAGTCTCCACTTGCTTTCCTCAGGCATATCATTAACCTGCGTCGGAGGGGGACGAACTTCGCGATGACCCACATGGGAAAAATTCTGAATGGACGGTTGTTGAAGCAGGAAGACTTCGAAGACCGCTAATCGGTGTGCAGTGACACTTCTCATCGATGTCTCGAATACGTAGGATTAGTTGTATGTTTGTTGCAAACTTACTCCGATGTTTTGCTTTTGTAGTCCAGTTGTTCCATATATATGTACATTGTTGTTTGATAAGCGTCAGCCAATTGTCAGGAGTTTGGTTACCAGCGAACGTGCGAGCGCAGTAGACTTACCATAATCATGGCTTTCAGAATTGAAGAATGAGTGCTTGTTGTAAAACTCCAGAGTAAGGTGGGTGTTGTATGTAAGAACCGCTGTAAGCACACTGTGAGATTAGAATGAAGTGAGCTGGCTGTAATTATGCATAAGAAGTCTGCACAACAACTCAGGCTGCGAATGCCCCAATCCTCCTTCGCACCTCTACGGCCCGACCGCTGCCCCGTCCTTTGGAACGCCCAAATACGACAACCTTTCCCACCTCGCCCGCCCGCCCGGTTCTACCAGCACGGTGCAAAAAGTCGATCATATTCCGAGGTTCGTCCACAATAAAGACATGCTTGATGTCAGGGTGGAAGTCAAGTCCCCGTGAAAGCAATGACGTAGTCACTAGAACGTGAGGCGTAACTGCTGGATCTGACGACAGGGAAGGTACGGCAACATCAGTCGAGTTCTGCTTCAAGAAACCATCCAAGTGGTGATTGGAACCTCGCTGTCGACCATCTGCATTGCCGGTAAGCGCGACGCATTTGATGCCGCGACCGTCAAGGAAAGCGCCGAGTTCTTCAACCTTGCGCCTTTTGTTACAGAAAACGATGACTTTAGAAAGCTTAACTGGCCGGGGGCTTCCGTGGGTTGTCTTGGCGTGAACAAGTGCGTCTTCCGCCCATACGCGGCGAATGCGACGTTCGATATCTACATCTTTGTTTCCACCAGTCCAGGAAGCATGTTCCGTACGGAGAGTGCGAGGTAGATGATGTAGATGGGGGGAAGCAAGCCGTGTCAGTGTAGGATGGTAAGTTGCGAGGTAGTTGCTTAGGGAGTTTGGAATCGTTGCACTGGTAAGGAGGAAATTGAAAGGGTAGGATATCGGCTGAGCTGTGATTTCCACCTTTTGTTGTGTGTCTTGCGGGACCAGCATATGTGCTGGCGTTACGGGGACAGGATAACCGCGTGCCGCAGCTATGTCTGCTAGCAGCATACAGGTGGATTCTTGGAAGTCAGGGTCTACGCAATGGATGCGAATAAATTAGCATTTGAACCTATTGCATGGTAAGAAGCCAGAACACAACACACCAAATAACACGTCCGCTTCGTCCACTATCACCCACTCCACGTTTTCCAGTCCCATTTCGGGCTCGTCGACCCAGAACTTCCGTCCCAAGTCGACAGCGGATGCTTCCTGGAGCGAGTCCTGTCCTGCTACACCATCCTTGGTATTGATGCGCAATGCACGTTCGCGTGCGCGCTGCTCCCAGTTCCATCCCCTACCCCTTTCTAACTCCAGCATTTTCATCGGGGTACCTACCAGTAAATCGACCGGCCGAGATGCGCGCCCATTACCGGGAATGAAGATCTCTGCGCCATCGTTGTGGTCTACTCCTTCCATCAGCCTTTTCATCTTCGATGCGGTCCCTTTTTCCTTAGCTGTGCTAGGCACATTTGCCCTCGACGCGCACACGACACGTAGTTTGACAATATGCGAAAGCTTTTTGGCAAAACCTGCTAATTGTCGCGAGAGCTCATGAGTCGGCGCCAGGACCAAAGCACGAGGATTGAGTGGTCTCGATGATTTCCGCGAAGAAGCTTGACTCTCGAGTTCGGTGCGTTTCAAGTCCTGAAGGAGTGGAAGCAAATACGCTATCGACTTCCCTGACCCGGTCTCACTCGCAAGTAAGCATTCTATCCACCTCGAATCCGAGTTGCGCTGCTTGATGAGATGTTTCAAAGAAAGAGCCTGGATTGCTGTTGGTTTGGCATTCTCGCCAATGAGCTCATGTAAACATTGGAGGAGGCCCGGAAGCAGGGGAGAAGACTTGAAGTTTTTCGGTAGACCTCCGAGGGATGTGGAAGATGTGATATCAAATTCTTTTTCCATTGGGCCAACGGTAGAACCTCGTCGCCCCTGGGCTGCCGCTGCGCGTCTGTCGACGCGTTCCGAGTGTGCCAAGGCAGCGAAGTGCTTTTTCTCTGCGGATCTGGTCGACGTCACCGGTTCGGAAATGCGTCGCCTTCGAGAAGGACTTGGTTTATATGGTGTCCTTCCTTCATGAGGTGCCCTGTCCCTGGTTAACTTGGGTGCGACCTCCAACGTTCCAAGCCTTTTGGCCTTCCCAGTAGGCTTCAGGGATTTTGCCAGGCGTGATTTCGGAGAGGAAGCTTCAACGGACGTGTAAAGTGAGTCCGTCAACTGCAAGAGAGCTGTACGTACGAGTCTTCGAATTGCTCTTCCGGCCCTTTCGACGTGCTGGAGACAACAGCACTGAAGATGTGTGTATACATGGCGATACAGAACCACCGGTAGAGCGAGCCAGCACCCTGCTAAGGTGCAAGGCAGCAAGCATCGATCAGAGGCTCGGAGTAAGTGCCAGGAGGAGCACTTCCTAAAATATGGTGGCGGTAACGAAAATAACACAAAATGCCCCTACTTAGGACTGATATACTGGTCAAGCAGTCTCTACGTATGTAGGCTCTCCTTTCGCGGGGTACCCTGAATCGGAACCAGGGTACATCATCTGAATGATGTGATTTGTGTGTAGCAATCAAGTGTTGGGAACGAACTCCAAGTCGTTGCTGATGATTCCAAAAGTTGGGGCCCGGTGTGTTGAGTGTGAATAATTGCGATGCTCCTGGAAAGCTCAGTTTTGGTCTACGGATTGTGTGGTTTCTACCAGGGGGCGGTCGGTTGTGCTTTCCTGTGTCCAGTGGGCTGCGCCGTCTGCCATCATTCATTCGTTACACACCGCACGAATCTGACTGCCACCATTGGGCTAGATCTTCTACTTGACAGTGGAAAGCAGGTCGTGGCACGCTATCAGTGCAGATAAGTTTCAAGCAGCTTGTATGTCGCCAACCTTTTCGCTGCACAGTGCAAAACTACCCTGACACCTTGCTCGCCACCCACATAATCAGGACGTTTAATACTTAACCCCATCCCGCGTGCTTGGCTGTCATCCACTGTCGCTTTCCCAATGTCGCTCTCATACTCTGTTGGCGAACGCGTGCTGTGCTATCACGGTCCACTCATCTACGAGGCGAAGGTCCTGAAGGCGGAGGTGTGGGATGAGTCGAACACAAAAACCGCTGCCGTGGGCCCACACTTCTTTGTGCACTACAAAGGGTGGAAACAGACGTATGTCATCCTTAGCTACCCACCTGTTTCTGTTGATATACTACTGCGTGCTCAGATGGGATGAGTGGGTATCGATAACTCGACTCCTTAAGTACGACGAGACGAACGTTGCGCTACAAAAGGCGCTCACGAATCAAGCTTCCGCGGCTGCAGCTTCCTCGTCAGGAGCCTCTAAAGGAAAGGGTACGAGTGGAGGGACTAGCACTACTGGAACGGGGACTGGACGAGCTAGGAAGGATGGTCGTGGCACGAAACGAGGAAGAGAGGAGGTAAGTCTGGTTGTGGTTTCGCGCAATGGCTTCCTTCCACCGGGCTCCGCGGTATGCATGGGGCTCTATCGTTTGGTCAGCAAGCACCCTCATGCTCGCACCCGTGGCATTCACCTCTTTAGAGTTTCTGAGACATCGCTAATATTCGTTATCACTATTTAACCGTTCCATGGCAGGACGACAGTCATCGGAAACCAGAGATGAAGTTGAATGTTCCCGAAGCTCTCAAAGTACAGCTTGTGGACGATTGGGAAGCAGTTACGAAGAACAATCAGGTATACTTTGTGAATCGAGTCCGCTTTACTCTTACTCAGTCATACCGGTACTCCCTCTCTTGCAATCACTCTTTCTCCTAGCTCGTTCCCCTTCCTCGCAATCCCAATGTGCTCGACATTCTCCTGGAATTTAAGGATCACATCATAAAAATGGGTAAACAGACCAAGTGCGCTCGTTGTCGTCTCGCCTTGACTCAGTCAGCCACACTTACACTTTGTCCTACAGCCTTCGTGATCCGGAGCTCATATTACCGACCATCATTTCCGGTCTTCAAGTCTACTTCGACCGATCTCTGGGTGCAAATCTGCTGTATCGATTCGAACGCCCACAATATGCGGAGATTCGGAAGACTTACGTCACGGGCCCGAAAGTAGTCGTTGGGCAAGAGAAAGAAATGAGCGCAATTTATGGAGCGGAACATTTGCTGAGAATGTTGGGTAATTGCATCTTTCACATCTCCATTTCACGGTACACGTCCTCATGCGAGTTATTACACCAGTGAGCCTGCCTCAGATGGTGGCAAGTTCCACGATGGACGCGGAGAGTGTAGGCTTGGTGAAGGATTATGTTAATGAATTGCTTGTGTTCGTCCCCTCTCTCGACCCATCCTCATCTTGTCGTGTCAAAATTCGCTGATCATCCGTTAACAGGTTCCTTGTAAACGAGCGCAGCCGGTTTTTCTTGACTGAGTACGAAAGTTCAAGTCTGCAGTACCAGAACATCTCGCGGTCGTGAATATATCAATTCCTCGATATTTGTTGTGGTCCTTTCCGTGTCTTCACAGCTGTGCAACCCGATTACAATTTGTGAACCCAATTTATCACCTCCACTGAGCACCATATGTATATGGGCATTGGGTGTAGATCTCTGTACATTTACGTGCCAAGTGATCGAATGATCCTTGAGTGTTGTCAAACGTGACGTCATAGGAGATGAGCCAGCTATATATACCCTTCGCTATCTTGTTCCAGTCGTCTCTTCACCGCCTCACTCCAAGCTAAATCTCACAATGACCTCTATGTTCGCAAGCGCCGCGCACACTGCTCATTCTGTAGCAGCGGGAGTTCTCAATACTGCACAGATCAAAACAGGTGAACGAGTGCCTGTCAAGCCTGTCAAGGAAAACGATCCTGGACAGCGTTTCGACATCGATTTGTCGGGTAAAAACCTCATTGTGAGTTTTGGCGTCATAGGACAGTTTGGGGTAATTGACCTATGTAACCCGTTCTGCGTAGATCGGGATTCCAGGTGCCTTCACGCCTACGTGCAGCTCTCAGGTCCCATCGTATGTCTCCGACTATGACAAGTTTAAGGCGAAGGGAGTCAAGGATATCTTCGTGGTGGCCATCAACGATGTTTTTGTGATGAAGTATGTGATCATCTTATTCATCGCGTCGGAGAGTCTGATCCGCTACCCCACCGTTTACAGAGCATGGAAGGAGAAGCTTGCCCCACAAGGCACCGGTAACTCATACAGATATCCACTCGTGAAAAGTACTGACGCTCCTCGTGATTTTGCAGGAATTCGATTCATTGCAGACGACAGGGGAGAGTTCACCGGCGCCCTCGGGCTACTCTTTGATGCGACCGATTTACTTGGAGGCCTACGTGCGAAAGTGAGTGAATCTCAAATTGTAATTGGAGGGACGTGCTGCTGAAGGCTACGGGACCCACTTAGCGCTATGTCATCATCGTGCAAGACGGCAAGGCAGAATATGTCGGGGTTGAACCAGATGTTTCAAAGACAACAATTACATCGGCAACGGACGTGATCGAAAAGTTGTAATGTGGCAATAGCTTACGGAGGATCTTTCATGTGTTTGAGGGGTTATGAGAGTCGTGTTAGCACGTTCATGGCGCAGGCGATGTGCACGTACAGCGTTCTCATGTGGGAGTAACCGTACGAGCTCTGAGATACAAACGAGATACGACAAGCCTGTTCACATATGTAGGATCTCCTGGAGGATGGCTGAGGCATGTATGTCAGTCGACGTGTTATTGAGCTCAGCAAACTACACGCCCTTCTGGTAACTCCGGTAACCTATCTGCCCCCATCGCCATCCCAGGCGAAGGGGGGTCCGTTATCTCTTCGGGGTGGTGATGCGTATGATTGCAACTGTAATGTGGACGTAAACGACGCTGTCACCTCGTTTACAAGGTCATTGCACCTGAAATTGAAAATTCGTCACTCATTTTTCGACATCTGTGATCTTCCCATAAAGAAAGCCTGATTCAAATCATGGTGGCAATGAATTGTGGGCATGTAATTGTAGTCCAAGCATCATCTACTTGTGAACGAGTGTCAAATCCAATTGTAGGTTTGGCCCATCCAAGCTCAATACCAATGCACTACCGCGCCGTGTACTTGCGAACGAGGATGCGGAGACGTTGCGGAGACAGAGGAGTTGATGAGCGGTGTAGGATTTTCAGACATAGAAATCTCGCATGTAAATTATGGGGATCTACGTATGTCGCATCCGTAAAGAAGGTGCCTGCCGCCCCCGACGACCCTATCTTCTAGTAGTGAGTTAAGTCCCAATATGTAATCGAGCCATGATCGATGGTATAGTATAAGTAGTAACGGAACGAGATACTAGAGAGGGTAAACACCCGTGTACAGGTATGACTTCTCAACCTCGTTAACAAGCCTACGTCGTCTACGGCGCATGACTACGAACAAATCTCCAACTCAGCCTCAGGTCTCTTGAGGTTCCGTCTCCATGTAACAAGTAATCCAACGAGGACAACACGAAAAAATACGAACAGAAAAAACGACCGATGAAGGAAGAAAGACGAACTAGCTTTAGCAACCGTCAGTTGAGCCCGAACTCCGCACATACACGTCAAAGGATTTCCAACACTCTCGCTCGAACGTTCTTGGAGGCGATGTTGGTTCCGAGTCCCGAAACGACAATCTCGTTCTCTGCAGCGACCCTCTTGTATACCGTTCCATTCGACTGCTGTACGAGAAGCAATGCGTTAAAGGGCTGTCCAAGGCGAGCAATCACATGTAGTGCCCGGGTATAGTTGTCAACCTGAAGCGCAGGGACAACCGGTATCGGCACAACTTCATCCGAGCCAGTGTCACTGTCAGAGTCCGAGTCATCCCAAGTAACCCCACTACTCGGACCTCGGATATAATTAATCCAGGGATTCGCGAAGATGAGTTTCTTTGGCTCGTGCAGTGGGAGATCATCCGCGGTCATGAACTCTACATTTCCAAGTCCTGATACCCTGGCACGATAAAGCTTCTTGTTGTCACCACGTGGGTTTTCGAGACTTCTCACAGAGAAGACGATGCATGGAAGATGTAGACGTCGGGTTGCAAAACGGGCGGGGGAAAGATCATTGATCTTATTATATATAGTCCGTGCTTCATACCGGGGCAACTTTTCACGTAATTCTTTGATGCACCTTTGGATTTCATCCCCTTCGAGAGATGGAGGGCTGTAAGGAGTTTGGCTGTAAACGGCAAGGGAAGCCGGGAGACAAGTGTTGTATGATGACGACTTTCCTGACCACGCAAGTACACTGACCTCCCCAGAGCGGGCCACGATCTCCTCCAGAAGGTGTCCGAGGGCGTCGGTTCCTTCGCCGTAGTAGGGCTTGATGTCGGACTTGAATATGCCAATAAGAGAGTACGCGACGTCTTCCTCAACTGTCGCATTGCGTGTCGAAGCGAGACGAAGTTTCTCGCGCACCCCGAGGTCATCTGGAGAGAACGTGACGATAGTTCCACGTGGAACCTTGATGGCGTTTGCCAGCTCTTGCATGATCTCCGGAGACTGCTTGTGGTTTGCACTGGTATCGCCAAGGTATAACTTCCACTCGGCATCATAGAAAAAGATGACTTCCGGTGCGAGAAGCTCTTGTAAAGTCCATGCTCGCGTCATCCACAAACTACGCGTGAGGTCCCTGGGCTTGGACGGATGCGTTACACCGGCAAGGTATACGAGTGTGGCTGCCGAATTCGCATACCATTTGTACATGGATGTAAGAGATTGACTAAGGATGGAACTCGTGGACTTGTCGATACAACATGTATCCGACCATGCCCAGTTGTAACCAAGTCTGCGCGTCTCCTTGCAGAAATTGCGCAACTTCTCGTTCAAGGGCGTGCCAGGGAGTTTCCACACGGATTTGGATTCAACTTGCTTGACGTCCTGGAATAACGGCTCGTTCCCCTGCCACGCGTGCGAGAACATCACATATTTGAAAAATCTTGCAACCACTTGTAGGATACGCTTCTCGTCCATTTCTATCGTCATAGATGAAACGAGCTCTTTGAATGATAGGTCGGCCTTGAAGATATGCATCCGCTCAGCACTGTCGCAAAGGCAACCAGTGTTGACATCGATTACGACCAGGGGATAATTTTTAAGGGTCTCGCGGATGATAGGATCAATAGCTGCAATTGTCTCGGATGGAGAAACGTAGTTCTTGCGCAGTTCTGAGAAATCATTAAATGTGGTTATTAGGTTCATACAGGAGGCACATACGCCTGATTGCAGGGTCATGGGACTGCTCAATCGCTTGCAACATAGACTTGAAAGCATCGATCGCTTCGTCATACCGCTTCGCTCCATGGAGCGCCAAGTGCTTCACCTCATGGCCCCAAGGGTTGGAGGGATCCGCTTTCACCGCCTGTACAGCAGCTGTAAGGAACGACTCATACAAGAAGCGCACCATGCATACGTTTTTCGCATCTTGTAGTGCATCCTCCCACAAACCTTCTGCTGCTCGAGCTCTACTCCACTTGATAAACGGACCTGCAGCACTTGGACGACTGTTGGGAAATGCAGCAGACCACTGTGTTATTGCATCATCATGTTTTCCGGATCCACAGGCTTCGTCGCCAAGATGCTCAAGTGTGGCAGCGCATTTTTTGGTGAAATCTGATGACAGACATTAAACGTACATGCCAACCAGACTAGCGGCTACAAGACGTACTTGCGATCCAGTCCGCATTCACATTGCTCCTCAGGACCTCCTCGTCCGATGACCTGATGATGTTGAGGAAAATCTCCACAGCTTCGGCTGCACGGTCTTCAGTGAAAAGGGTTTCGCACAGAAATTGCTGGGAAGCGACGTCCAGCCCATTGAAACTCCACCCAAATATCTTTATGGAGGGTTAGGTTGATAGGTAGTGACGGCAGAAGACCTACAAGTGAGATCGTCACTAGCGGAGGGCATTGCTTGTCCTTGGGGGCTAGGTCCTTCGCACGCTCGATCAATCGTATCGCATGTCTGTAATCCCTCTTCTTCATGTACATAACTGCAAGGACCTGCACAATGTATCAGGGGTGATACTTAAATGTCTGCATGACGCAAGGCACGTACCTGGGTGTAAAGGTAGGTTTTATCGTCATCATTGTCATTGTTTGCTCTCGTAGCAAGGTGTTCCATACGATCTATTGCCCCTTCCCGATTCCCAGATTCGAACAGAAGGATCGACTAGGCAGAACGTGGATTAATTGCGAGAACGGTTTAGATCACCTCACGCACCTTCAGTAGTAAGAGAAATCCGATGTCGTATGGGCGACAATCATGAAAGGCAAAGTCGGATGCCCATAGTGCACCCTCCCGATCGCCCTGGGTAAGTAGAGTGACTGCCATCGCAATATAGCCAATAGGCGATGGCTGAACCTGGAGGGACTTGAGGTGCATGTGAGCAAACAGGCACATGGAGTTGTGAGCCTAAAGCAGACAGACCTCCTTGGCATCCTCTATCGCAGGTGCCAAATGTTTCAAACGTGCTCTTATAAGAGCGCGGTTTGCTAGCACGTGGTACCTAGGACTTGACGCATTCGTGATCTCCTTCGACAGTAGCACTTCTGTTTTTGCCGGGTCGTCCTGTGTCCACGACTCGAAGATCTCGTTGCTCACTTCTACGAGCGGAAGCTGAGAAGGCAGAGTTGTCGACGGATTACGGCGTTACACAAGGCATGAAAGTAGCGTGACGATTGTTAGCAATGCGGGCCTCATGAGTGGATGCACACTTACACCACGGTCGAAATACTTAGCGGGGAGGACACTTCTAAGACTGTGAATTGTAATATTCCTGCCATTTCCACATGCGAGATACCGTCCGCTTGGTGAGAGAGCAATGCAGTTAATCTGTGAGGTGTGTACGATGATGCTACTGATACGCTTGTGGGACACGCAATCCCATAGCGAAACTGATGGACCTGCAGCACATGCAATGAATCTGCCATTGGATGCTATATGTGCCGGAGATTGGTTTTCATGGATCGACCACTCTGAAGACGAAAGCTTGGAAAGGTCGAAACAGATGAGTTTGCCTCTGGGCGAGAGAAATAACTGTTGGCCATCAGACGACCAGGCCAACGGAGTTTTCGACCATGAGCCGGTCGAACCGTATTGACCTGAATCGAACAAGATATTGCCATTGTGGGTGCTGTAGACACGGACACCCCGAGTCTCTGAGGAGGTAGCAAATCGACTGCCGTCTGCGGAGAACTTGACACCAGTAACCCAATCATATCGAAGGGGAGGAAGGAGTCGGATACCAGAAGTAATGTTGAAGACCCGGGCGTTGCAGTCATCCACAGATACAAGTTTAGTACAGTCGCTCGAGATATCGACCCCCGGTACCCAGCGGCCGTGATCAAGCTCGCGCACTTTTTCATTAGTGACCATATTCCAGACGATCGCCATGTTTCCACGGTCTCCGGACACCATCCACCGGCCATCCCGGGAAACGACAACAGATCCAACAAGGCCACTCCCTTTCATGGTTGGCCCTTGTTGCTGTGCATGTCCGTCTTCAATCTTCCATCGACGAATATCACCGTTGTCACATCCTCCTACGACCTGACTTTCGTCCGCAAAGGTGACTGCGTGTGAATCACCCTGACATTCAATTTCGATCCATTTCGTATCTTAACCACCGTAACGAGCTGTTAATAGGGCCAACTCAGCCTCTCTGACTGCTGGTACGCACCCATCGTCGTCGCTGGCAACTAGCCGCTTGTTCTGGTGTTTATCGGGGAAAAGAACGATGCATCGTAGACTTGCTCGTGGCACCCAATGTGAGCTACACCGTGCTCGTCGGATCAGTGTACGTGGCCACAGCCGCATCATGTTCTTCAAGATCAGGATATCAATAGCATGTTGGCGGTGCAGGTCTCAACGATGATCGGTGAGCTCCACAGGATTCGGTGTTTTCGTCTGCACGAAGTCACGCATAGGGCAAGGGTTGGCAGAGGCGTGTTGATGGAACTGATTGATGTGTTGGCATATCTACAATCATCCAATCCCAGAAAATTTTCTACCGCATGCGCCAATGCCCTCCGCCCCGCACCCGGTCCCGACAAATCTTTGGGCTTCACTACATGTTCACACTCACCAGTACCCCCAACCCTTCACTTCCCCTCCACAGGATCGAATCTTGTCGACAAAACCAAGGCCTCGCGCGATGATAAAACACATCCGGGTTGCACCCTTGTCTCACGTCCATCACTAGGCTCGTCAACGCATGCACCACCTTTTTGGGTACTTGCGATGCGCTGGCCAGGGAGGGAGTGGATTTCAAGGCATCTGGCATCCTCGTTTTCGTCTACTGCACGAACATGACCATTCTTCTGTGCCCTTAGTGCTTTCTTGGAACTGTCAAACCCAAACTCAGATTGGCTTACATGTTTCCTCAAGTGTGAGTCTGTAACGCACCTTCTTTGATCTTGAACACCTCCCTGTAGCCTCAAGAGATTGCCCCGCCCGCCCGCTAAAGCACACGCCTCGGGGGTTCAAAGTACTTAGTGAGCTCAGGATGAAGTGGTAGAAAAGGGTAAGTGGCAAGACCGGGAACGACTGCAATATGAAAGGGAGCGTTGAAAGTCGAGGATTGAACAACGGTTGTTGATTTCTGTTGTCATGATTGGCATTTTCTCGCCCTGAAACATAGTCCAAACCCTGCACTGGCTAATTTTGATCTAAATGGTGCCATGGGCCAATGATAGAATCACAGAGGTGAGTATAGTCAAAATGCTCGAGCTTAGGCTTTACAACGGCATCTGTTATGGGGATTCCAATTAGTGTCTATGTGATCAGTGAATATGAGCCGTAGTCAATGATTGTAGTGGGGATATGCTTGAAGTCACGGATATCCCATTCCCACGCCATCCGCAGGCTGAGTGTCGTCAGCGTGGTATCAAGTATCGAGATATGCGATATGCACCAGGAAGCTGAATGTCCCTGTGAGGAGTTCGACAGGAAGTTGATTGATCGGGAGGGTCGTGCGTCGACAAGTTCACTGATTTTACGACTTTGAGTCTCAATAGCCATGAGGACGGCCAGAAGTCGTTTGACAAGCATCCACTCGGCGGACTGCGGTCGTGCCAACCCAGTACGGGCCTGAGCGAGTTTGCCCGTGATGCGTCCGTGCTGCAGTCACGCCGAACGTTGAGATGTGTCGGGAATCCACATAACTGAAAGGAGTGAAGCGAACCTACAACTTTGATGGTAAGAGCCTGTGGGAGCAGTTTGAATGGGTGGACCTGAAGCAACGGTACTATCACCCGACGAGCTTGGAGCGGTGCCTAGCAGACTAAATTTTGCGTTCACCTGCAGTTTCGTCTCGATGATTGTGATAATACTCACGACAAGCTAGTAACTCGACAGTGCAACCCGGTACTTGAAGCAGACCTTGTGGAAAGGCTACAAGCGCAGAGGAGTGTGACGTTAGCGAGAGAGTTCATAGCAGGAAGGATTGATTCGATCTACACGCGCTGCACGAAAGGGGGCTGGTGCCGACGCGGCCCTAAGGGGGCGCACGCGCCAGCAAGTGTGGCAGGCTGCCCATTGGCTTGAGGAAGCTATCCCGACCCCGTTGGGACCACGATGCCCCGTAACTTTTCCGACCCCTGTGTATCGAATCCGTTGTAACTTCCTTGCAACGGGGATATACTGTAAATCATCGAGAAGAGTATCAACGAGCTCAGTCCAGCACTCAGGGAACTCAGTAGGACATCCTTGGTATGTTGCTTTAGCTACGGATTTGAATCGTTTATACCTCCTTGTCGTCAGATCACCCCGAACTGAAGTTCGAAGAAAGGCAATGCGTTTTGTGTATTGATCATGAGCGGCCTGACACTCCGAGGGCTGGCAGACACACTCACGATGTCAACACCACGTTCGTGGAGAAACAAGGCTTGGTGGTTCAAAGGCATTACTTGCTAGAAACGGCTTGGGTTGCGAGGTATTCACATCGGCAAGGCGGTCCCCGGTCGGTCAGCACAAGTCACGGCGTCAGGAGACCTCTTCTGAGACGACTTGGGAATGGAGGTTATCCCAGTAAAATGTCATCCGCTAGAGCCATCATAACTTGGCCGGAATCTGGTGTCCTGGAAAACGGAGGTACTCAGGTAGCGGAGTTGGTGACCAGTTGCCAACGTGGCAGCTAGAGAACTTGGATATCGTCATCGCTTGGAGGACCGCCTTGATAGATGATAGCAAGGAAGATGATTACTGGGGTGCATGTGATGTGAGGTTCACATATAGGCAGCCGTCGGAGGGTGGAACAACATACATATGTATGTGCCGACGTCGGGAGGGGTATGAGGACGATGACGACCGAGAGTGTGGTAGCTGTAGTTCAATGGGTAGCGTAAAGTAATATTCCTCGGGTCGGGAGCTTTCTATAGAAGATCGCTCAGGAAACCTCTCAGTTTGAAGGTCTTGTGTAGATAGCAAAGGCTACGAAGCCTAGGCCGTCAGGACTACTTCAACACGTAGCGGAATAGTGTAAATGGTAATGGAACGAGAAGTTATGGATCCGAGGGTGTTCACGTGTAGTACTACCAACTGGCATGATTTCTTGTCTCGTTGACTAGCCCACGTCGTCCACGGCGCACAAATCTCCAACTCAGCCCCAGGTCTCTCGAGGCTCCGCCTCCGTCTTGTCGCCATGTAACAACTAAACCAACGAGAACCGAATGAAAAACAAAAGAAAAACGACCGAGAAAGGACGAATGACAGATCTAGCCTTGAAATCTGCAGCTGAGCCCAAACCCCACACTTACGTCAAAGGATTTCCAACACTTTCGCTCGAACGTTCTTGGGGGTGATGTTGGTTCCGAGTCCTGAGACAACAATCTCGTTCTCTGCAGCGATCCTCTTGTACGTTCCATTCGACTGCTGTACCAGAAGTAATGCGTTGAAAGGCTGTCCAAGGCGAGCAAACATCTCTAGTGCCCGGGTATAGTTGTCAACCTGAAGCGCAGGGACAGCAGGTATCGACACAACTTCATCCGAGTCAGAGTCGGTATCAGAGTCCGAGTCATCTCCCCAGGTAACCCCACTACTCGGACCTCGGATATGATTGATCCAAGGATTCGCGAAGATGAGTTTCTTTGGCTCGTGCAGTAGGAGATCATCTGCAGTCATGAACTCTACATTTCCAAGTCCTGATACTCTGGCACGATAAAGCTTCGTATTGTCACTACGTGGGTTTTCGAGACTTCTCACAGAGAAGACGATGCATGGAAGATGTAGACGTCGGGTTGCAAAACGGGCAGGAGAATGACGATTGATTTTATTGTATATAATCCGTGCTTCATACCGGGGCAACTTGTCACGTAATTCTTTGATGCACCTTTGGATTTCATCCCCTTCGAGAGATGGAGGGCTGTAAGGAGTTTGGCTGTAAACAGAAAGGGACGCCGGGAGACAAGTGTTGTATGTCGATGACTCTCCTGACCACGCAAGTACACTGACCTCCCCAGAGCGAGCCACGATCTCCTCCAGAAGGTGTCCGAGGGCGTCGGGTCCTTCGCCGTAGTGAGGCCTAAGATCAGACTTGAATATGCCGATGAGAGAATACGCAGCATCTTCGTCGATTGTCGCATTGCGCGTCGAAGCGAGACGAAGTTTTTCGCGCACCCCGAGATCGTCTGGAGAGAACGCAGCGATGGTTCCGGGGGGAATATTGATAGCATCTGCTAGTTCTTGCGTGATCTCTGGGGACTGCTTGTGGTTTTCACTGGTATCGCCAAGGTATAACTTCCACTCGGCATCATAGAAAAAGATGGTTGTCGGCGAGAGAAGCTCTTGTAAAGTCCATGCTCGCGTCATCCACAAACTACGTTTGAGGTCCCCGGGCTTGGTCGGATGCGTTACACCGGCAAGGAATACGAGCGTGGCTGCAGAATTTGCATACCATTTGTACATAGACGTAAGGGATTGATTAAGGATGGAGCTCGTGGACTTGTCGATACAACATGTATCCGACCATGCCCAATTGTAGCCAAGTTTGCACGTCGCCTTGCAGAAATTGTGCAACTTCTTATTCAGGAGCGTGTCGGGAAGGTCCCACACGGATTTGGATTCAACTTGCTTGACGTCCTGGAATGTCGGTTCGTTCCCCTGCCATGCGTGCGAGAACATCACGTATCCGAAAAAACCTGCAACCACTCGTTGAATCCGCTCCTCGTCCACTTCTGTCGTCATAGCTGAAACAAGCTCTTTGAATGATGGATCGGCCTTGAAGATACGTATCTTCTCAGGATTATCACAAAGGCAACCACTGTTGACATCGATGATGGCGAGGGGAGAATTTTTAAGAGTCTCGCGGATGATAGGATCAATAGCTGCAACTGTCTCAGATGGAGAAACGTAGTTCTTGCGCAATTCTGTGAAACTGTCATTTGTGGGTATTAGATTCGCACAGGAAGTACATACCCCGGATTGCAGGGTCATGAGACTGTTCAATTACACGAAGCATAAAGTTGAAAGCGTCGATTGCTTCGTCATACCGTTTTGCTCCATGGAGTGCCACATGCTTCGCCTCATAGCCCCAAGGGCTGGAGGGATCCGCTTTCACCGCCTGTACAGCAGCTGTAAGGAACGACTCGTACAATAAAAGTACATGCCTACGTTGTTCGCATCTTGTAGCGCATCCTCCCACAAACCTTTTGCAGCTCGAGCTCTGCTCCACTTGATAAATGGACCTGCAGCACTCGGAGGACTGATGGGAAACGCAGCAGAGTACCGCGTTATTGCATCTTCGTGTTCACCGGATCCGAAGGCTTGGTCGCCAATATGCTCAAGTGTGGTGGCGCATTTTTTGGTGAAATCTGATGGACGTTAACATGCACATCAATCAGACTGGAGGCTACAAGACGTACTTGCAACCCAGTTTGCGTTTTCCTTGCCTCTCAGGATCTCCTCGTCCGATGTCTTGATAATGTTGAGGAAAATCTCCACGGCTTCGGTTG